CAGCTCACAAGCTGCTTGTGGAGCAGAAGGCAAGTGTTGACTTTCAGCATGTGTAGTAGGACTGTCTGGAGGACCATGCTGCAGTTCTGGTTTGGAAATACCCTCCATTCACTGGATGGCCTCACTAAAACCATTCCTCTGTCTGGAATGAACGCACCAGATTTTCTGAGATTTGGTTTTCCTTATTTTTAGTGGGATAGATTTAGAAATAAGTTCCTAAAATTGCCCTGTGTAATAAATAGCTTACATTATTAGATCTGTCAGGGTCCAGACATAGGTCCAACTTTGAATTGTTTGAGGGCAGGGTCCTATAACCCCACAGATGTCCAAAGAAGTCAGCAGTCTCTACAGATGGTGATCCTCATTCCTGGGGCAGTGAGTGTTCTCCAGCCTTGAGGCTCTTGGGCATTGTCTGGAAGCAAGAAGGGGATGTGGATGAGGGAATAGTGTGGTGAAATGTGTTAACCTGGGCCAAGTGTTTGTCCAGCTCTGGGATCTATTTTATTTGTTTGTAAAATATACGTAGCAGAACTGAGGAGTAAGCAAATGGGAAAAGAAAATCCCATTTGTGGATTGGTTGGGGGTTTTTTGCCTTGCATCCCTTACAGGGGGAGAGACAAAGGAGACTAGAACATTTTCCTTTTCTGCCTTAAACCCCAGCCACTCTCCCTTTCCTTTTTCTTTGTCCATGCCAGTTGCCATTTTGCTTCCCCTTCTCCTTCATGACCATGTGGTTTTCTAGCAAACGACAGTGATCCTCTCCCAACTATTATACACAAAGCATTATCCTGGTGACAAGATGCAATGTTTTTACCTTGAATCCTTTCACCCTATTCCCCTGGAGCTATATCTTTTCCCATCCCCTGTCAATTCCATCCACATGCTCTTCCCTAAACCTCACTCTGACTGTGTCTCTGGTTCTGCTGATCATGTACAGCATATTTACTTAGGTCTCTAGTTCTTGTCTCCGTCCCAGAAACTTTTCTAGAGGGTTTCCTGAACTTGTGCATTGATGTCTTACCTGATCTTTTGTTTTGCCTCTGACTCTGCTGTTTCACTTTCTTGTTTCACAGGTGTGGGAAGTGGCTAAACCTTACATTGAAAAGTACAGGAGGGAACATATCCCTGAATCGAGACCCATTTCACCAACAGCTTTCTCCCTGGGATCACTGGAAATGAATATGGGTGTTGGTCACGACCACAGACATGAGGATGAACTTTAAGAGTTGTGGTCCTCTGGTAGAGAGCAGATCCTGTCCAGGACCTTGCCTGAGGGTGGCTGTTCTGCTTGACTTCAACATGATTTCTTCAGGTGACCCAAAGGACCTGACTAGCTCAGGAGCACATACAAGATAGCAAAGACAGCTTTGTCATGATAGTGTGGTTTTGACTGAATTTCCCAAACTTCCAAACACAAAACATTTAGACTCCTGCTGAAACCAGTGGATGTTTTATACAGGACTTCCTGTATTTGTTTCTTCACCTCTTCGCTTGTTTTGTCTCCATCTGTGCCAATGATACCAAACAGCCTAGGTTTAATATTTTCACCTTTTTTTTTTTTTTTTTTTCCTTTGGGTAACTGCTGTGGTCCCATTCATTCTGCTACAAGCAAAATTATCTTTACACTTAATTCTTCTCTCTTTTGCAGATCATATGTGAGGTACAGGTTCATGTGTAACAAAAGCATTTTTAGAACAGGTGCTTCATAAATCAGAAAAGCTGTGTGTATAAAAATATGTTATGGAGATCATTGCTCCAGAACAAATATATTGTATTCTGGTGATGAACTACACTTAGTGCGGCTTTCCAAGAGATATGGGTTCACACCTGCAATAAATAGACTGAGGCTTCACATATAGCTGTAGCATTCTATTTTCCTGTCATGTATGATGATGAAAATGTAAAGCAAAAGCCTAATTTTGGAAACGAGGATGCATGGAACAGGGGCCAGGAAAGGAAGAGGAGGAGATGTAGGAGTGGTGGATGTGAACCCATGCTGAAGCAATAGCACCAAGATCTACATTCCTGCGGCTCACCGGGTATCTGCCTGGCTGCCGAGGGCCCTGTCCCCACCAAGGGGCTCGTGTCATAGTGTTGTAACACAGAGCATGCTGACCTCTGGCACAGACTTTATTTTGCAAGGGAAGAGTCAGGATTTAGACTTCATGTAATGGTGCAGTGATGACATGTAAAGGCTGGTTGACAACCACTGCTGGCCTAATACCCATGGCTTTGGGGTGTTCAGCATGAGCTGGAAATCTTCCCAGGCCATCAGATGTGCTGCAGGGAGCACCTGAAACACTAGTATGGGGCTACCCTCAGGTGTCTGAGACCTGCTGTGTGCCCTGAGGAGAGGACTCCTGCCTGTTGGCAGGCTATCAGGGAGACACCTAACCTGGCCAGAAACCTGGAAGCTAGGGTACCCAGCCATGGTGTGTGAGCTCCCAGTTCAGCTCTTTCTCTCTGCACCTGCTTTGCAGCACCTCCAGCCTCTGTCTCCCTCCTGTGCCAAGTCCCTACCCTTTCAGCTCAAGGGTCTCTGTAGCAGGTGTATCTCAATCTTCCCCTGAAGCTGTTCCATTTTCTATAAAATCAGGTGTTAATTAAAATCAAGTGTAAGAACAAACAGCCAGGCTTATATCTTGTAGGGTCAACCATTTGCCTGCATTCTCACATTATGGCTAAACAATACAGTTCCTTCAGCAGCAAAGCCAGCAGAAGTTCCTACCCTTGCACTGTTACCTACATCCTGCAGCCAACCGCTGCAGAATCCAGCAAGCTGAACATCATTGCTGAAATAAGCCACATTAAAACAAATAAACAAAAATCTTTCTGTGTTTCAGTGGGGTGTGCCTTCCCCAGCAGCTGCACCTAACAGTGCTGAAAACTGCACAATGGCAGGAACCACTTAAGCCACTGCAAACCTGCCACTAATCACAGCCCTGGGGCATACTCCCAAATGGCTACTGGATTCAGCCAAGCTGGTTGGGCAAGCATATGGTTTGAGGTTCTTGTCAGAGCTAAGGTGTGCGTAAAAGAAGAATCCCCTCACGTCAGTAGTTTCAGGCCACGAATGCCTATTCCTGTCCAGCAAGAGAATATTTGTTTTCCCAATGCAATCGTGGGCCCCCAAATGCCTCAGGCACTTCAGAGATGAGGCACTGGGTGTTCCTTCCCACTCACATCTGCTTCTGGCTGCCTGGGAGCAAGGGACCACCAGCACATGCTGCAGCACGGCGGTCTCAGCTTTGCATCATGCCTGTGCAAAGCCGAGAGGCACTGCTCTGGCCACACACTGCATTTCAGAAATGCCTGCACTTGTACCCTGACAGCTTTCCCCAACTGCCTGCATAAATTTTATTTATGAAGGTTATCTTGGGCAGAATGAACTGTGTGATCACATACTTCAGATGTTCTTCCAAGCTCTATAAAAACAAAGGTCCACTCCCACATCTGGTACAACAGCTGCTCACAGAAAAATGCATCTAGTGGCAGGAATGCCATTAAATTATTTTAAAAACTGATTTACTTGGCTAGCCTGGCTCAAATAAAGCATGAACAAAGATACTCTATGGGATGGTTTACATATTTTGGATGTTAACACATGTGCCTAAGGCTCAGGGAGATTGGGTCATAATAAAGCTCATGTGTGTTTGTGATGATGGCTTCCAAGTATCTGTTAATCAGAATGAGACTGTTGTCCTTCCTCAGGGGTCTGGTTCACTAAAGCACACCACAGGTTATGTCACCTGCTTATATCAATAATTATTTTTATGCTAAGTTCTTTATGCTTGTCAGCTGTGGTTTTGACTTCAACTTCAGAAAGTTAAGCCCTTTTGTTTCTGCAGCCACCATCCATTTGAAAAGTTGGAGAAAAGCCCCCATTGGTGTGTATCCAGACACCCTCCCTACCCTAGACCCCCTGCTTAAACAACACTGCAACAGCTTGAACTCTCCAGAACTGTTGTCCTCCTTTTTTTCTACATACCACATCCCCAAATAATTGTACAATCCCCAGAAAAAGACAGTAGCTGAAAGAAAAAAAAAACACTTTAAACAAACCCAGGATCTTAAGTTGTGACATTTGCTCTGAGTAGTTGTCATACTCACACTCAACTTCTCATCAGAAGCACATTCAACCTTCTATAAACAAACATGTCTCATGTTATTTCAGATTCAGCCTAGAATAAATGAAATTAGGTCTTTTTTTAGAACATCTGTACAACACTGCCTGCATGTGATCTTTTAAATGTCAAAGTAATTGAAATTTTGAGAAGTTGGCTGTACTCACCAGACCTCGCTGAGCTAATTGCCTCTAAGAGTAAACTGTAAGATTTTGGCATCACTGATTTCCAACAGTAGGCCTGATTCAACCTCTAACTTAGAGTGCACTCCTACTTTTAGCAGCCCAGTGGGTGCTGTACCTGGTTGCATTCTCCTCTCCCCCTTCTTTTGGTGCCCCTACAGCCCTGAAGGAGCTGCGAGATCCTCAGCAAGGGAGATGTTGCAGACCAGCTGATAAGCAGCACCTTGCTGGGCTCCCAGCTGCTCACTCTCACTGAGTTTCAAGGCTGCAGAAACCAGGAGACTTGTTATTTTGGAGAGGTAAGGTACTGTGCTTCCCACCATGACTGTGGTTCCTGGTATCTGCTGAGTTCAAGACTGAGCAGACCCAGGAGCTATGAACATTGCCTTGGGATGCTGTGGCCTCCCAGCACCATGAAGAGCCATTCCGAATGTGCACACCTGAACCCCAGCCCTCCATCACACGTTACTTAACATCAGTCCTCCCAATAAATCTTACCTGGATACAAACTTCTTCATTCACTCGTGGTTTGTTTGGGTTATTTTCAAATATAATATTTTTATAGATTAAAATGGTATAGGAAACCATTTTTGCAAATTGTCTTATTTCAAAAAGATACAATCAGAAAATATTTTCATGCAGTGGAGAGGAGAATGGACATGAAGATGCACCAAACGGGTAATGCTTGGTAAAGTTTATTTGAATAAGAGGGCTGGTAAGGTGAGCACCAAACAATTTACCGCTAAATACAAAATTGATTTGTCTGTTGCTCTGAAATACTCCATGCTAATTTGATTATAGTAGCTTCCTAAATTACTGTCTTCTCTCAGTAACTGCTCATTGTCTCACACCTCTCATTTTCATAGACGACTTGTCCTTTAACTATAACGTAGTTGATCAGTGCTTCATGTCCCCCAAACTGGTAAATCAAGTGCTCCCATCTAAAAAGACAACAAGATGTTTAAGAATAGCCAGACCTGCATAAAAGCAGGTCACGTAACTCCTATATCTGGCAATTATAAAAGATTTGCTTGAACCATGGGCGAACAATATTCCATGTCTACATGTTGATCTCTTGTTCCATGAATACAGTGAGTTAATGTACACATCAGTAGAGAACTCCTTCCACAACATAAACAGGTATTATCCTTAGATAATCTGTAAATAGGGATGGATTATTTTTAATATTGGCCCCAAAATTCTATGGCTTTACTTTCCACTGGAGTGATTACAGAGCATAAAAGCTGGTCTAAAATGATAGCAATGTCCCTTTATTCAGATGAAAATAACTTTTGAAGCACAAGGAATTCACTAACCTCTCCACTATCCAAACATGGTGAAAAACAAAGCCCCTTATGTTAAATCACATTTCAAACAACAATGGAAGAACAAACCTTGATGAATTTATGATAACAAGATCCCCTTGCTTGCCAGTCTCTATGGAGCCATGTGTGTCTGATTTTCCCAGCACATAAGCCGCATTAATGGTGGCAGCTGCTAGTGCTTCATTCATTGACATCTTCATGTTTACACAGGCCAGATGCATCACCATAGGCTAGTAGGCAAGTTAAGTGGAAAATGGGAGTTACCAGTAACACAAATAAAGCTGTTCATGCCTCAAATCTCTAAGCACTCTCCTCCCTCCTTGTGCAACAGAAGGAGTTGTCCTGCATAATGTAAATCTTCCCAACACCAAAATGAGAACTCCAAAATCAGGAACTTTGAGAGCATTTTTTATAAGCCTCTCAGTGCATATGAAGAATAGAACCCGTTCTGGTTTCAAGAATTCCTGGCAAAAACTACCAACACACATAAATAAGCATGAGCAGTTTTCTGAGCAGGGCATACAGCTCTCTTTGTGGCTATGAAGACTGTTTCAAGTGTGCAAGATCTATGCACAAGTTATACTAGTAAGAGATTTCATAATTTTATGGTGTCGTAAGTATTAGGAATAGCTTACCATTGAAAAACAGTATGCATTGGGATTAAAGTCACTGCCAAGAGCAACTATAACTCCTTCGTCTAACATTTTTCTAGCTTGAGGTTGCTTCAGTCTGGTGGGAAGAAGACACTTGTCAGTACAATTCACTGTTAATATATGAAGATTTACAGGAGCAGAGGTCATCACTTGGTTTGGCTACATTCATGCATTCATTTAGAGTAATCCTTCTGGAGACGAAAGCCCAAACTCTCCTCTTGGCTCCCTACGTATCACCTATGGACAGCATAAACGGCAAGTGTGATCCACTGCTTTTGAAGTAGCAGCATGTGGCAGCAGGCAGTATCAACCATCAGGCTTCAGGCCACTGAAATTTTGGTATTTATTCACACCTTAGCCACTTAAGGATTTACAAGGTGAAAATATTAATTTCTCAAAAAAGTAATATTCCTGTCCTTTTATCTTCAGAGACAGACTCCCACATATGAGCAGTAGCACAAGCAATGCAATAGTCCATTCCTTTCAAATTGTTGGCAATTTGAAATAGTAAGTTGAGACTGTGAATTTAATTTGTATGCATGAGAGGATTTTCTCACTTAGTCTTAATGCAAAAGATATCTTCAATAACTTCAATATCTGGAATAGCCATTTCAAAATTTTTCAGACACTGGATTAATCTGGGTAGGTGCTTGCAAGGGTAGACACTAGGAAATAACACTCTCTTAAAAATTTTTAGCCATAACTGCTGTAAAGCAAATAGCACCAAACATCGTGTCTGAAAATAAACCAGTGTAATAAAAATGAAACATTAGAGCAACTGCTGCTCAAAAAGTAGTATTAAAAGCACTGCAGTTAACAGAAAAGAACAATAAACAAGATCTCAATGAAGTGCTTACATTTGGTATAAGACAATCCTCTCCCTATAGAAGCCTCTTCACAGATTTATGAGAAAACTACTACCTGTTCATGCACAACACGATGCTCCAGGAGTTAACTGTGTTTAAAAGATTTGTCTGAAGAGCTGTTCTGCATCCTCATGTGTCCTTCAAGCCTCTGCATCCCCTGCCATGATCTGCTGCCAGACTCCTAAGGAGTACTGCAGGCAACAGTTAGCAAAGACTCAAATGAGAGCATGCTTACCATTAAACAACTCGCTGGCTGCACTCTCCAGCCCGCCTCTAGTCATCAGGTGAATCCCTGGCCACTGCTGCTTTTCTTAAAACCAGGGGACAGTGTAGGTGCAAAACCTCCTGAATTCTGAGCTCTTGTAAGTGATGCTGAAAGAGTTGAGGGAGCAGCAAAGGATGTACCACATCACCTCATAGCATCTTCTTCTCATACACTGTACAGCTTTCAGCCCTCTAATACTCTTTTAACATTTATCTCATCCATGTCTTCATCATTTTTAGAGTGTATTAGACTGGGAGGCCTGTGTTCAGTAAATAGTGCACTGGACACTGCAAGAAATGAGGCCTCATTTCCTACAGCTTGTTCTTATCCCCACCTTAGGCTTATCCTAAGCTTATAAACTCTGCACTGCATGGAGTCTCTGGAGTAAGACGTGAGATACAGCCACAGCCTTTTCCACAGGTGCCTGCGTCTCTGTTGTCTCCTCTACCTCCCTGCTTGGGATCAGTTTGCAGGACCAGACATCCTCCCCGAGATCTGTATTTTGGCAGTGCAAGTAATTGCAATCAGTCAGTGGTTGAAAAGCACTGGTGCAGGTCACGAACAGCTAACCACAGAAACACAAGCACAGACATAGAAGCGAAGACAAGTGGCAGTGGCACAAGCCTCAATGCACAGGAAAGTTGGCTGTTGAAAATAAACCAAAATCAGCTCAAGGATCTTTTCAGGAGGGAAAGTATTATTGGGTCATGGTCCTCATCATCTAGTTGGCTTATTTTTGGCATTAGGCGTAAGCAGGTGATCCATCTACACTTATCTCTAATATATGCATATGGAAAATAGCATTCTTAAGGCAATTCTGCTCAGTGTTGCCTGGGTAAAATCAGATGAGATTTTAAAAATGCTACCCACAGTCTTTCAGCTCTTTTGATAACCAAAGGATTCATTACCCAGTAAAACCTTCTGCAAGTGAGTAAATACATACATGTAGATATAATTTGCCTGAAAAGAAGCCAACTCAGTTTTCAAAGCCTAAATGGATTAAAGCAAACCAGTTTTCTTCTTAAAGAATGCCTGATAATTACCTTAGCCTGTCATAAGGGTTAAATTCCAGTGTTGACTGAAACACTCCAGATCTACTGTGAGACTTGCCAGAACTAGAGTATCGCCTCATTTTTGAGGATTTCCACTAGAAACAAGACATAAGGAGGCTCATTCAGCTCTTTGTGTCTTCACTGATCCAGCCTGATCCTTAAGGCATAGATACAAGCTTACGCTTTTACACTAAAAGACCCTAAAACTAAAAATTTTTGCTGTTATTAAAGTTTTTCTCCAATCAGGTAGCCTTACCTCAGCATGTAGGCAGTTGTTGGTAAGAGGACAGCAGCGCACTTAGCTCTTGCCATCGCTGTGATACCTTCATCACTAACTTCTTCCAGGTGGCTGACAGCCCGGGCTCCTAGCTCAGCTCCAAGCTAAACAAATTTTCAAGAAAACTACTCACCATTCTCAATTAGTTCAGTAAAGCCATGTGGTTTTCAAATGACTGGAGGAGACAATTCACTACTAATGTAAAATGTACTAAAAGAACGCTTGAAAGAACAAATGGAATACAGAGACAAAATATTTGCTAAATTACTGCAGAAAAAGTTGATCACAAAAAGGTATTAACCATCCAGTGAATGGAAGCATACCTTCAGTGGTGTTTTTAACAGATTAACATGCAAGCTATGGGAGAGCTATGGATAAAACCATCATCAAATCCCATTTACAAAGTATACAGCAGAAAATTGTTGACAAAACTGACACTGGTTGCAGAACTAGTAGTGCAAGTGCTGCCTTCAATGGTGAAGCACCAAAAAGGCTTTTATGATCAATCGAGTTTTTGTTTTGGTTTTGGTTTTGTTTTTTCAAATACAGCAGAGAATAACTTGAGCAGACCTCACAGGATGGAAATAATGTTTACATGATGGTGAAACATGGTCTCAGACTGACTTTCTTTATCAAGATATTCGGGAGCCTATTCTTGACTAACCCATCTGAGTGCGCTCACTGCACATCTAACTTGTTGCTGCTAACAGGACATCTAAGGAAAAAAGATTTTTCAAGTTGCATAGAAACCATATTTTCGTCGTTCTTGGTTTCACAGATACCCACCTTCCTCATCTGTATCCCATGGGGAAGATAAGCAAAGTCAATGTTTGATTAGGCAGTGCTTGCTAGTCCCAGAGGTCAAGGCTTCCTCCCATGTGCTGCATAAGGGCTGCACTTTCTATCATCTGATAGATGTCTATGAATGGTCTATTTTATAAAGTCTTAGAAAAGAAAACCTTGGTTTTCAAAACTGCAATCCTTTCAAAGATTTAGCTCTTGCAAGAGCAGAAACGGCTTAACTGAATGTTAAGACAGACATACCTCAGCAGATTTCATCGGATGGAGTTCATCACCATGGAAGTTAAGCTGTAACCCTATATTTTTTCCAGCTTGAAGAATTCTCCTAGTAGACTCCAGATCAAAGACTCCCTTCTCACAGAACACATCTATATTGTTAACATGTATTTCACCACTTAGTTTGAGTTCTTTCAGTTTAGGGAGATGGTTATTGATAATGTCATCTGTGGCTTCAGTAGCAGTTTTCCCTCTAATGAAAAGAAAATGTTATGGAGACACAAGAATAACATCCTTGAAGTCTGGCAAACATTCAGATCATGCATGCAATTACTAGATTATTTACAAAATGATGCAAATACGAATCACTCCAAAAACCTTCAGATCTCAGATGCTAACCAAGATACATGATATTTGAAAACTAATTCTTCTGCTTTTTTTATTCATATACTCTGACCTCCTTATACTCTATCCTAAAAACCAACTATTTAAAATATGTAAATGGTTATTTAAATATGTTAAATGGTATTCATGCAATATTTTTATGCAAATATCAAAGCTCAAAGGGGACGTGCAGCACAAATCATTATTTTAAATTTTCCTCTCCTCCTTTTTTATCTTTCAGACTGATAGCTAGATAACTGTTTCTAAATCAGAGGGGCCTCCCGAGGTTCAATTTGACAAAGTCAGAACCATTTATGAACCCCCTATTACACAAAGATAGCCCAGGAGAGATCAGTAAATGCCTCTGAAAGACAGAACAATCCAAAAATATGCAGTTGAGTTAGTATTTTGCAATTTTAAGATCTAAAGGTAAGTGACCTACTGCAGCTAAATGTGACATCTCAATCGTCTTTTCAGGCACTGTAAGGCACGCACAGCCCGGCATGAGTGCCACATGGGGGCGAGCTGGGGGGTTTACAGAGGCAGGAAATTCAAGAAGCCAAATTCTGCTTGGATTTGTAAATGAGGTTGTGCAGTTAAAAAGCAGAGCAAAACCTGGCTTATGGCCCTTCTTTTGTTCACCTCTCACTGAAACAGTCATTGGAGTTGCTCAGGCTTTTATCATGCCAAGCCTTCTCCCTTTTCTTCTTTTACTCAGCAGCCATTGGAGGAATTTGGACTGAAAGATTAGGACCAGAGCCAAGGCAAAACAGAGGGAAACATAAGTCTTGTTAAACTTTTTTGGGGACGTAATGCCCTAGAACGCAAAATTGCTGTTGTTTTAATGCGAGAGATTTCTGTACAGGAAATTACTTTGAAAATGTCTTCCTAAAGATGAAGGGGGCCCAGTGAAGCTTTTCCAATAAAAAAAACCCCAAAATTACAATCAGACATCCCAAAAATCATGAATTTGATTCCAAATGATGACTAGAGGGATGACAGATCAGTTATTTCTTTGCCCCCCTGCTGTGAGCTTTTTAGATTCATTTCCTAAAGAACTGTAGATACCCCAAGTCTGGAAGTTCTGAGGCTGGAAACACTTTTTAAAAGCAATGGACACAAACAAGGATCACTATAAACAGAGCAGCCTTATTTTTCTCTAGGATGGCTCAGACTAAAGTAGCCTGCACCATCTGGCACATACTTCAGTAAGTGCTGCCTATTACCAATACACTGTATCACAGTCCCACAGAATAACTGTGTTTGTAAGGACCTCTGGAGCTCATCTGATCCAGCCACTGCTACAGAGCAGGGTCAGTTTGAATCATGTGTCCATGGTGCCTTTTAGAAGCAGAAAATCAGACTGAATGACCATATACCTAGAGATCACAAACAGACACATGCAGCAAGTTCTCAACATCTGCCCAAAGCTAATTTCCAAGTGGGAAAAAAAGAAAAAACGGTGCTGGCAAGTCTGGAGGTAGGCTCCTCTTAAGACTCCACATACTGAACCTTTACAAGACATGCCACATACTGCAAGACTTGGCAACATGAAAGAGTTTACACCTTTATCAATTAAATTAACTTTCTGGTGATGCTTCTGATCTAAGAGGCCATATTTACAAATTAAATTAAATTAAGCCAAGTGTAAGAAGCAAGCAAGCAAGTGGCTTAGCAAGAATTTAACAAAGCTCCTAGGCAGCAGCTCCACAGGTGTCTAAGCAGCATTTTCCATGAGCAAGTGTAACACTGCTCTTTTGTTTCACACTAAATAGAATTATTTTAAATTGATTCAGTGTTAGTAGATCAGCAGTAACAGACTTGCATGACTATGATCGTTCCAAAATCATCAGGTTATCAGATTTTTAATGGCAATCTCATCAAGAGTTGGCATGAAGTACCTACAACAAAAAAGGGCATTATATTTTAAGATCTACATGAATCAAGAAGATTTAAATAAAAACAGTTAAATCAATCTTACTCTTTTGTTTGTATGATTTATGCATAACTGAACTACAGGGCAGCTTTATGGAATACAATGATGAAAGAAAACTGACATGAGCTTAAGTGACTTGGACGATGTCTGTTTAACAGCTTCTAGAATCTACAAGATCATCATCTTATTTGCATAAATGAAAGAGCAATTCCCAGCCCCAAGCCTGCAGGCAACATATTCCCTTTGCAATCCTCCACTGTTACTGAAACTGCAGGAAATTCAGAGTCTAAAACTGAAGCTCAACAGAGCAGGATGCTTCCCTCAGCACATTACTGTCCCAGATGTTCAGGAGCCAGCCAAAGGCTGAGGACCACAGCTCTGAACATCAGGCCATGAATCAGGGAAGAACTGCAAAATTCTTCCTAGTCAAAATAAAAACCTGAGGCAGTGACTAGGTTTGAAGGGTAGCAGAAAATTAATGCAAGATATTCTAGACATGAACATTTGAATGAAAAGAGAACAGGGTTTAAGAAGACCCAAACTGGAAAATACAGATAAGTACCTTTTCTCGTTACATAAAATACAATATACTCACTACGTATATTTTGTTATGCTTGACATCCATCAGTGGGGACAGAACTGTACGGAGTGAGATGGCATACCTGTCTTTCTAACACGTAAGATTTGATATATTTGTAAAAACACTGGAATTTATTTCATTAGTTCACAGAAATGCTTGAAATATTTTGGTGGGAAAGACTACTTATGAGGATTTTGACTGAAATTCTCCCAAGGTTTTTTTAGGGGAAGAAGAAAGGAAGGGCTAAGAAATATATATAGTTTGGCATGAAACTTCAATTATATTTTACCATTAAGTCAACCAAACTTTAGTAGAATGTCTTGAAATAAATATTTGGTGTTTTCAGCAAATTTTAGTTACTTTATTTTTAACCATCTTCCAGTTACTGAAGATGATACAGGATTCCTTTTGAATAATTATATTAACAAAAGATAATTTCCCAACCTGCTCCAAATACAGCATAATTAGATTGTAAATAAATGTATTCAGGCCATGTTTTCTTGAATGCTGGAAGAGGTAGATTTTTTTTGGAGTATGCTTTTTTTAAAAAAATTAACATCTCATAAAGACTGCCACAGTATCTCTGTGATGCTAGGCCTGCCTCCATCTTACAAGCCTTGTTTTGCAGCAGCCTACTGCTTAGTCTGTCAAATTATATGTTTCACATACACATACACCCACCTAGCTAAAACTCCTCATTAATTCTTTCATACAATGAAATCTAGTAACTTGAAGATGTTATTTTCATCATAGGGAAAAAAATGTTGAAGTGAGAAAGGCTGGCTTGAGCCATCAAAATACTTGTGATTAAGCATGTTTACTTTAATCTTCTACTCATACCTATAAGATGTATGCAATTCTTCTCATATCTTCTCTGCATGGAAGCACAATTAAGCTTTGTTTATGGAAGTATATAAGGATTAAATACTTTTTTTTTTTTTTTTTCTGTTAGCTGGACAAAATAAAAGCTCATGGCAGAGACTACGCTTGAAAGGTAGCAGCTAACCCAAGCAGAACAACTTTCTGTACAGAAACCCTGTAATCTGCATTATGTTCAGTGTGAGCATCAGCTGGAGGCAGACATTTTGTGCTAAGGTCTTGTTGGCATTTAGTAGCCACTAGCTAATGCTTCCCTGTCTTCCTTCAAATAAAAATTTAGAAGAGTCTTCTGTAAATACTGGCTATTGTTTCAAATATGTTTAGGAGGGGTAAGCAGAAGAAACCTTTCTGAAAATAACAGCCAATTTTCAATGCATAGCAGTAATAGTTAACAAGAGAAAGAAAAATCAATTCACATTACTTTGGCACAGAATGAGCTCCACAGTATGTTGAAGAAATGCCAATATCCATGGATTGCTTAGCACGTTCGATCACCCTGAGCATTTTAAGCTCTGTTTCTAAGTTTAAGCCATATCCACTCTTGCACTCAACCAAAGTAGATCCCGCATTGCGCATGCGTTCAAGTCGATGTTTGAAAGTATTGAAGAGCTCTTCTTCTGTGGCATTCTGAGTGTGTTCCACAGTAAAATGTATTCCTCCCCCAGCCTGGTGGATCTCCATATAGGATGCACCTGCCAGCTTGGGAAAAAAAAAGAAAACAAAAACCAACCCACACACATAACTAGATATTAAATGTGCATTTTCTATCCAAGGGATTCAGGAAAGTGCCTTGAGGTCTCTTTGCAGTGAGAGAGAAAAGGACAGGGATAAAAATCCCCCCTAGTTCTTCCTCTCTCCCCCCCCTCTCTCCCCTCCACATAAATGAATAAATTATGTAAGAAGCGACATAAAGAGAATTATTCTGAAGACCTGCTTTCCCCTGAACCCAAGGGAAAAACCTATCTCTAGCTCAAAAATCCATTTGCGTGGAAAAAAAGAAGAAAAAAATAATCAAGATTTACATGGTAATAGAAGGTGGCACTCCTGTACTACTTCAATTAATGCAAAAATATATCAAGGCTGGCTGCAAAGGCTGCAGTTACACTCCTCTCATCCTACCAGTATTCAAAAAATCATCCCTCTTCTCTCAGATTATCTGATGGAAATTACATGTTTTTCTACAAATGAAAGATAAGAGTCACTGAAAAGCAGAAATAGTTATGGATAAAAAAAAAGAGGAAGAAAAATCCAGCTGTGTAATTTTATGCTGTTACCTTCATTGCAAACTCATGAACCCTATCACCAGCCCACACTGGATGTGTATGTGCATCTACCAGGCCTAAAGAAAACAAAGTAAACATACACTCGAGTTATTTCACTGTGTAAGAGAAAAGGTTATGAACATGCAAGCAAATTAAATGGACAGCAGAAGTTCCCCTGTAAAGTCTCTATTGGTTAGAGAAAATAAAAAATCCAACCATCAAAAAAATCTAGGATTTTCTTCAAAGGCTATTAATTTTCTTTTAATTTTTTTAGGTGTAACACCGTACCCAAAATGTCTCTCTGTAAATGCATCAGTTGCTGAGTTTTTCATATTGTTTTGATGATGTTTTTAAACTGTGGAAGAAATTATAAATTACAAACTTTGAAAGAGTTCATTAGGCTTTGTGTTCTTTAAAAAAAGCAGTGCTCAGGCTGGGCTTAGCATGTTAGCACTTACTCTAGCATTTCCTCCACTTAGTACACTTAGTCCAGCAGGAGCTTCTTCTAAAAGCTGTGAAACCAACACTATTGAATGCCCAAATGAAGCAGAGGTCTAACAGCTTGTGTGCTAACACCACTTGCGAAGTTTAACACACAGTAGACTTGTCCAGGTTTAGTATTTTTATCAGGTAAAGTTACAGAGTATGTGACTAAAGTCCTGCACTGCCCTTTTCCCTCCAACTGGCTGCGGACAGGATGGAAAGACTGAGCTCCATGGCTGATGGGAAGAAAGAGCACAGAAAAGAGGTGAAAAGTCACTAGGCCAGCTATGTTACAGTTGTGATCTATGACACGGAGGAGCAGATGTCAGATGAAACAAGAAGAGACAGAGCTCCACCATGAAGCCCAAAAGAACCATCCTGAGTGCTACAGTTTTCTCCTTGCTGCACTCCCGATGGAAAAGCTGCAGTACTCTGTCCCTAGCACAAGGTATTATCAAACCAGTACTACAGAGGAAAGAGGACGAAGGGACGTTTAACACACATGTACTTTGTCTCTAAGCACTTGCCACCATTTGGCATTGTATCATTATGAAAAAACACACCTACCTGGTAACACACACTTCCCAGAGCAGTCAATTATTCTTTCAAATGTTGCTCCTGAAAACTGATTGCGAATAACATCTGCCTGGCCCACAGCTTTGATACAACCATCTCTGCAAACAACAGAAAACGAACAAAGGAATCGTGAGCCTGTTGAAAAGTCAAGTGTTCACTGAGAGAGCTCCTGGAGCAACAACTCTCTGAAAGCAGGGGTAGGGACCTTCTGCAGGATTGAAGATGCACACAGGAGGTAATTTGCTATTCTTATAGATGCACAGAAAATGATGGGGTAATGCCATGCATTTCAAGTTGTTTGTTGTAACACTTGTTATGTCCTCTACTTTTTGTTCTAATTTCTGCATTATTTTTCTGTTGTGGATCAGCAAATACACAGCATTCCTCCAGCAAGTATCTGCAGGGCACTCTTCCCCTCACAGAAATCAAACTATCACTGTCCTTGAATCATACCCTTGTGCCCTTGGAAGACATAAAGGATACATCTCTTTGGGGCTGACCTTCAGTTCAACAGCAATTTTCTCCCAGTGGAGCTTGAGGATGGTACTGGGAATCCTGCACTTGAGGGATTGCCTCCAGCCATGCATGAAGCTCCACCTCACCTACAGGAGGGAAGCCTCCCAGGGCATGCGCAGCATCTCTGTCCTTTAAGCCTTGTCTTTCTCCAGCTCTTTTCAAGTCACTGGAATAGTAGTAATTGGGAGTCATTATGGGTACCTGACTGAAGGTATCTACACCACACAGCTGAATTTTTATGATTCTGTGCTGGTTTTGGCTGGGATAGAGTTAATTTTTTTCACAGTAGCTAGTATGGGGCTATGTTTTGGACTTGTGCTGAAAACAGTGTTGGCAATAGAGAGACGTTTTCATCGCTGCTAAGCCGTGCTTACACAGCGTCAAGGCTTTTCTGCTTCTCATACCCCAACAGCAAGTAGGGTGGGGGTACACAAGAAGTTGGAAGGGGACACAGCCAGGACAGCTGACCCCAGCTGACCAAAGGGATATTCCATACCATATGACATCATGCTCAGCAATATAAAGCTGGGGGAAGAAGAAGAAAGGGGGTGAAGTTTGGAGTGACAGCGTTTGTCTTCCCAAGTAACTGTTATGTGTGATGGAGCCCTGCTTTCCTGGAGGTGGCTGAACACCTGCCTGTCGATGGGAAGTGGTGAACGAACTCCTTGAACGCGCAGTTTTTGCTTTCCCTATTAGACTGTCTCTATCTCAACTCCAGAGTTCTCTCACTTTTACCCTTCTGATGCTGTCCCCCACCCCACCAGGGAGGAGGGAGCAAGTGGCTGTGTGGGGCTTTGTTGCTGTTTGTAGTTAAACCACGACAGAGCAAATAGCAGTCAGAGCATTCAGAAATGGGAGAGATGTAACTATATAGGTTAATAATTAACTACAACTTAATGAATTACACCAATTATTCATAGGATTGCTATTAGTTCACGCCAGTTCACCTAGAAACGAAGCAGAGGCAGAAGAGGCTAGCAGTTATGATCAGCACTAGGCTAGAAGTTATCTTTACAAGGCTGGAAGCGTAACACTGGATGATAACAGAAGTTACCAGGATATGGACTGAAATAATCAAAACTGGGAAGGCACGTTTCAACGCAGGCAGGTGGCCGCCGTTCTGCCGCCTCCACCGAGCCCGATCCCACCACCGCCCCCC